AAGATGTTGCAAATCTTGAAAGTGACATTCACAATGAAACCATAGCTGCTCCCTCAACTCTTGAGAGGGATTATGAAGGTTTATTAAATATACTATCATGTCTGATACAAGTATATGAATTTCTTGAAATGTCATTCATTAGTATTAATTTTTGTTTATTGTAGGTGATGAATATATGAATGTTCTAGAGCCCCCATCTTCGCCTGTTGATGTTGCTAGTGGTTCTAGTTTTTCTCATTCAACTCCTAATGTCTGAATACCTAAAGATTTGAATGAAACTAATGATAACTTTGGTGTTGGTGAATATTAGTTTTAGACTTGTTAATGATTAAAGGGTTGTAATTGTAATGATAGATATTTGAAATATATTTTATTATTGTTAAACTTTTGAGTGGTTAGATTTGGTTGAATGTTTTTATAATCAATGTTATTCATTTAAATTGTATTATTTTAATCATGATCAATTTGCCACCATAGTTGAACCACTAACCCATGACCCAGTGTCATGACTCGTTTAATGACCGGTCCGGTTTTACGTACTTTGCAATAGTTTCATTAAAGTTTGGTTAAAATTATCCTTCAAACAATTTCCTAATATTAAAATTTTTCTTTTTATTCCAAAAATCTGCACATAAGAATACCCAAAAATTGCAAACTTAGTCTCAAGTTTAGAATCATCATTCTATAGCCCTAATAATCTATTTTTTATCCCAAATAATTATCTAAATATCAACAAATCAATTTATATTTTTATATTTAACTAAAAATCTATCCATATAGGTCTAAAGTTTAACTCAAAAGCCTCAAAATCAAATTTTATTAAAAAATAATACTTTAAAATATTTATTATATTATCAACAATCATAATAACCATATTTATTCATAAAAAATTTATCCTTTTGACAAATCTTAAATTTTTCATAATCTCAAAATCAACAGTTAAAGAGGACAGATAATTAAAAAAAATATTTAAAGCACTTGTCTTGAAATCTCATCCAAAATATTTTAATATGAAGCTCTCTTTTCCAGTAGCTCCTCTCTCGCCGATGTACTCTCCCTCTCGCTCCCTGTTGGTGTCGCTCGGAAAGGGAAAAACAAAACAAAGCTGTTGTGTTGAAATTGGCAATGTAATTGCCACATTGTTGGGCCCCACATTCTCTTTCTCTTGCCCTTTTTTTTTTTTAATGGTACAACCAACGCACGCACGCACCCACTCAGATTTGCAATCCGTTTCCCTCCTTATATTCTTTTTTGTTAATAATAATATTTACCCACTAACGCGCACACAAGAAATACTGTTTCCCCCACCTCTTTTCTTTGTTTTTTTATATCTCTTTTCTTCTTTTCTTTTTAATGTTAATATTATTTATATTTTCTAAAAAATTATAACTTAGTATTTTATATAAATTAGATCCAAATAATAATCCCCTCACTAAAATTATTTATCTCTAAATATTCTTTTAAAATTACTCATTTTTCATTAATCAGTTAATTAATCTTGAATTAAATTTTGAGATGTTACAACTTACATTCTATAGCTCTAAAACTCATGTGCATCATTTTGATTTTCATGTATTTAAGCATGGTAGAACTTAAGGTTATTCTGAAATTCTAGTTCAAGTAAGCATGCAAACCAAAACTTCCGAAAATACATTTAACACACAAAATAAATTTTAGGCATTTCATCTAAAACACATGTGTTCCAACTAGAACTCATGAAAATGGTTATAAACAATAAAATGATTTCTAATATGTTTTTCTAAATTAAAACAAGGTGTGTGAGCCTATGACATGTCTTTCAAAAATGGTTTCACCATTGAATGAAAATGCAAGTTCTCTAAAAAAGTATTTAACATAAGAACAAAGAGAAAAAAAAGAATAAACCAATCGAATTTATTTCTTCTATTGTTATTGTTCCTTTACTCTCTTTAGATGATTTTGTCGTTATATTATCTACACATGTAACAAAACTTTTTTTCAAATTTTATAATTACCAAAACAAAGTGTATCCAACAAATCCAACCCAAACCCTAACTAAAATTCATGTAAAGAGGTAGGGGAGGGAAATGTGGAGCTTAGCTGAGTATTTTGAGATCCAAAATAACCTCTAAGTGGTGAAAATCCAAAGCCGTGGCCAAAGGCATTCTCCTTTGTTCTCTCTTTCTTTCCTCCTCTTTCTTTTTGTCATTCACGAGCTAATTTAAGTCAAAGCGTGACAATCTGTTGCAATACAAGGTGTCATTCGCCATGATGGATGATGCAGAGGGCTCAACTCGAAATTTGGCTCCTTCAACTAGGTCAATGTGGCTTAATTCACTCTCAAGCCTAGTTTCAAGGCTGGTAATCTAATGAGCCCATTAGTCATCCTTAATAATCTCCAATTTGATTGACTCTTACCAAATTACCCCTTATTTACTTAAAAATTTAAAATTAAATATTTAGGATGTTACAAACACACCACGGTCACCAACAACTAGCAAATGGACGAGGATAAAAATTGAACAAAGCTTTGCTTTTCTGGTCGTTAAAGCAAAATGAAAATTGGGAGAGAAATAAAAATATTAATCTATTGTTCATCGCTTTTTTTAGTGGCATTTTGGTACTTTCGTGAGGCTAAGGCAAACAATAAAATGTTCCACTTACACAATGAGAAGATTCACACCTAGAATCTGAGGATAAGTTGCTGGCACAATTTCCACTAACCCATCATTCCCTCGTGTAATATCTATTTCAAAATTAAATTAAATTAAGTCAAAATACTTAACCATAAATTTTAACTTAACTAGAATTTCGGGGTTGTTACACTAGTTGGTATTTAACAAGAAACATATTCTTAGGTACAAAACTTGTCATTTTGGCAAGTTGAATTATCATTTTGTTAACTCATATGTGTCAATCTGTTAAAGCCTGTTACATCACTGTGAAAATGGAGATTTGATTGTGATAAACATATGGTAACTTGTTATTTTAGTTATACATGTTAAATCCTCAACATTATTGTCAAGCTTTCAACATCTTCATCCTTCATTTTGATTGTCTTCCTTCTAATAGTCTTTTTTTTCATTTTCTTTTCTTTCTTTCTTTTTTTTTTTTGACAAGGCCAAATGCGCGCATTAGCTCTATGCAAAGCTCTCGAGAGTTCTTTTGCACCTAATATCAAGTAGTCTTCCAAAAACCAATCTTCTCCCTCCCTCTCTCTCTCTCTCTCTCTCTCTCTCTCTCTCTCTCTCTCTCTCTCTCTCTCTCTCTCTCTCTCTCTCTCTCACACATTGCCATTTGCCTTCATGAAATCTGTTAATTCCTTTATCCTCTTTCTTTGTTCACCATTTCCTTACCCCTGCACAGATTAACAATAAATCAATCATTAAGTTTATCATTAACTACACTTATTAATATGTTAAATTTCACTTGTTAGTATCCTATGCTCAACTTGTCATTTTCAAAATGCTACTTGATTAAACAATTTCGATCATCTTCATTAATCAAGCATGCATACACTTGTTAATTCATTAATTGTACTTGTTCACAAAAATATTCAATTACACACTTCTAGCTATGCCTTCACTTGTACATCTTTAAAAAGTTCCTTGCAGTCTAATCATTTGTTAGAACATACACAACAAGTCACTCTGTTAATCTACTTATTAATTTTTTTAAGTCTACTTGTTATTGTGGTTCTGATACTTGTTCATACACTCCGATTCACCCAATAGAAGATTTATATCATAGCTCATAACACAAGCAAACCACCTTCCAATTTTAGCAAAATCGCCTTTGACAATAACTTCATGCAAGTAGTGGGATGTTAAGTTAAAGCTGTTATCCTTTTGCAATTAATTGACAAGTTGTGTCAATGAAATAACAAGTCAATTTTAAGTTATAAATAGAATCATTCTGCATGTTCATGAATAATTCTGAATTTTTATATTAGAACTTGATATCAGTGGCCTGCCCTCTAAAGTGACAAGCAAGAGCAACTGTTTGACATGTAAAATATCATGATTAACAAGTTTAGGTACAAGAGGGAATAGATTTACATCAGTAACAACAATTATTAAGAAAATAACAACTTCACATGGTTGGATATACAAGTAAACTTACATTATTGACAATTAATTTCATATTGACATTTGTCACAGTTTTTGAGCAAGTACTATCATGAAATTTCACAGCCATTTGAATCAGATTACACAAATTGACACAGAAACAAGTTGCAAAAAGTTATCAATCTTCCACTTGTCAATCCTCTATTCATCAGTAGTTCTTCATATGCCATCCCTTTTGTTATAAGTCTTTTAAATATAATCTTATCCTCATATATTAACTCAATTCCACAGAACAACGATGTACTAGATGATTGTGTTCAAAAAGATTGAGGCACTCAAGGAAATGGAGATGTTACTTGGATTTAGAAAAGTGAGCAATGTTTTTGGATGAAGAGTGTGGAGATATATGATTCAATCTTCTAGGAAATCGTGTTCAACGAGAGGAGACATCCACAAGAAGTTTGTTCTTGCTCAAAGAATTTCTTCAATCGTGGAGGAAAGATTTTTCAAAGACACTATTCTTCATTTCAATTTAAAGGTATCTTGTCATTTACCTTTCAATCTTATTCTTATTTCAGTCCTAACAGCTTGCAATGCATTGTCAAAATTCCGGGACCCAGTTGGTAAATAAGTTACTTCTGTGATTGTTTACTGCAATTCTCCCAAATATACAAAAACAAAACTATTCATGAACCAGAATTGTAACCAATGCAAGAACAATATTTACTTGAAAATTCATTGTCATCAATTGAAAAATTTATACACAATTACTTTCTATACTAAGTCACCATTAAATCTTCTTGCCTTAAAGCAAAAAATTTAATGTGCATCAAAAACAAAATTTACAAACTACATAAAAAGTTGAAGTAAATAATTATTAAATAAATAATATAAATTGAATAAAAGGATGTTAACAGAAAGCCTTAAATTAATAAAACCAACTTCAACAATGGAAGCCTCGAAACTAAACGCATGCACTAAAGAGAGAAATGTATTCCAATTACAAGCAAAAAAGTGAGGCCCCCCCCCCCCCCGGGGGGGCGGGGGGTGGGGGTGTTCTGTGTTCACCATATCAGATATGAGGTATAAAGCTGACATTTATTGACTAGCTCAACTAACCCAGTACCCCAATGACTACACGAAATTGAAGAAAAATAAATAAATAAAATAAAAAAGAAAAACCTCTTCATCAAAGACCTAAACCAACATCCCCAAGTTGATATTCCATTTCTAATGAAAGCATTCATATCCCATCTGAATTCTGATGTAACCCACTACAGAAATAAGAAGCAATGTGGGCAATGAGAGTCCTGTATAACTCTGAGCTCCTCCATTAAGTTTTGGCAAAAGAACGATTTTACTGGTATGCAACTAGGGACAATTTACATGTTTTGAAGGCCGAACTTGATCCTTAAAAGATTTTGTCCATGAAAGGCAACCTAATTCTTAATCTTTTCCATCTGCTTCTTGCCAACAAAGGATGCAAATCCAAAATGTGTTCCGGCATGAAATCGTGCCGTGTCAGTATACCAACAATGGGCGATCTCTGCAGTTAGTAAGCATAGAACTAACATGAGTAAAAAAAACAAAGAACGTTAATGGTAATGATGAGCTATAATTAACATGAACAACACAAAACAAGGCATTCTTAAACAAGTTAGTTATGTTCATGAAGATCTTAATTTACTATGAACAGACCCAATGGCTTTTAATTGTGACAACCAATCTCTAAAATTGAATCTTCTAGATTCATGTATTCATGCTTAAGAATGTAATTGTATCACATCAACATGCCATCTCCAATTCTCCATGCCCATCATCTCTTCAAATTTTAATCTTTCTTTAAACACACTATATGAATCAACTTTTATGATTATAGAGGATATAGATTGTTAAATTTCTACCAGGAAGTAATTCATGGGGTTTCAACGCCCACCTAGGCTCTTTCCCCACACCAAAAGTCAAAGATACTCCCTCCATTAAAAAATAAAAGGCATTTTCAATTGAATCACACTCCCCAATAAGTTAGTTAATTGTCTTGGAACTAACATCATCTTTTCATATATACCCTTATTTAATAGGGTGTCACACTTAAAGGTGAAGAGTTGAGTAATTTATTTATCAAAGGCATTTTTAGGGGGGGAGAACTCATTAACTGCACATTGAAAAACTAAAAATGTTTTATATTTTTAAACACTTTTAAACGAAAAATGCCTCACATCCAAGTCAGATGCAGTTACTATGCATGATGAAATCAGAGCAGCTTTTGAGTAAAACAAAGAAAATTTACCAATGTATGGAAATATTCTTTCACTAATAAATTTACGTTCCTATCAAATAAGCAAACAGAAGCTCATTCATCACATAAAAAATAGAAGCTACAACAGGTTGGCACAAAATTAACATAAGGAAACATTTAATGAGGGGAAAAAATGTGCAGACAACATACAACCCTCTAAAAGGCTAAAACGTACTTGTGGCAATAAGGCAAGACAAAGTGACTTACATTGGAGATCTTGGGTATCACCAGAAGATGCCTTAAACCGACTTCTCGAAAAAGGGTAAGGGCCTTTCCCAGTGACATTGTCTCCACAACAGTATAAGGTGAAGCATTACAAAATGGATGGAGATCTATGAACAGGTCCATCTCTTCCTCAGTTAACTGTATATCATCTATATCATCACTATTGTCAGAACCCTTCTTTGCAAAGTCATCTGCAGAAAACTTACTGAAGGCATCATCTCCCATTGCCATTGGTGTGGGCAAGAAATCTTTCTTCTTTAACAATGCCAGAAGATGGCCACGAAGGATTATACCGAATAAAACTGGAGCTTCCGAATATGGAGGCTCGTCAACCACAGGGAACCCATTGTGCCTTGAAGTCTTGAGAACAAACACAATGTTGCGAACCTTCTCAAAGCCATTAAAGAGCTGTAGTGGGCCCGTGACTACATCACCTACTGTCAGCTGTCTCATGTATGGCTCAGCATGAGTTTCTAAATAAGGAAACCCCTTTGCTTTCATGATAAGGTCATACATATTTTCATTGAAAGCATCAGCTACTGTCTTAGATATCAGAAGAACCAGCATCATCAAGGGTAGCAATAACAAATTATTTGTTAGTTCTAGAAAGATTACACATAGGGAAACTGTCATTCTCATGGATCCTCCAACAAAAGAAGCAGCACCAAGTACAGCATAAAGGCCATGGTTAAGAGTGGAATTTTTGCCAACCAACATCCCAACCAAACGCCCGTAAGATGCACCAATCACAATATTCGGCACAAAAAGACCAGCTGGAGCGACAATCCCATAGCTAAAGATGCTTAGAAAAAAGCATGTGATGAAAAAGATGATAATTGATGGATATGAAAACTCCTCATCTGTGTTTTCACTAAATAGATTTCTGATAGCATCATCACATGTATTAAAAAAAAGGCTGGCAAGATCATTGTAATGACCAGGAGGGCATTGGAATTTCTTGTAGTTACCAGAGCGGCCAATTGTAGGACAGTCCTCAACTGCATCAACTGGACAAGGTTGACAAGAAACAAGCCATGGCAATCCAAAAAGAAGACCAGAAGTGATAATGGAGATTAAGCAAGCAAGCAAAATTTTGCATGCAATGCCTTTCCTACAGGAGAAAATGATCAGAAGTATGAGCTTAGCTAAAAAACATTATACAAAGTTAGCATACAATACAATTATCTTACTCATGGATTATGTTGTAGATACGGAGAACCCTGCTCAACAGAGCATTATATAAGCTTCCAAGTATGCCTCCTATAACCCCAAGAATTATTGCAGGAGGTACATCCTTCAGATGATATGAAATACTTGCTGAATAAACATCAAACATTATCAGCCCACCTTTACCAAATAACCCACATTTACCGCTTAAACAAACATCTATTAATGCACGAAGCACAAGTGCAACTACTGCTGTAGTGAAGAAAGTTCTCCAAAGAAGGGCACTTCTCCACCTGTAGAACAGGACAGAAACATAATATACATTTGGAAAGCCAAAGGAAACAAAATCTAGTTATGGAATTTTAGATTGAAAAGGCAAATTTCTCAAAAATAATCCAAAATAATTAATGGAAACTGAAAAAATTGGAGAAACAACCAGTACTTGGACTGAATCTAAAGTGAGCTAGAGTTATCCTGTTTATAGCTTAAAAATAATGTGAGTTCCTATTATATCATGTATAGATCTATATAGATTATAGAAACCATTGATGAGAAAGATAGACAAGGGAAAACAAGAAGGGGGATGAGAGAATTTGCCATCATAATAGCCATCTGACAATTTAGATCAGGCTGTTGTATAGAACACATATATAAACAAGTTTTTTTTCTTTTAATCAAGAAGCAGACTTTATTAAAAAAACAAAGTAAAAAGATTACAACATTAAAGCCAAAGAAAATAAGGATGCCATTTCCTCAGACCCAACACACTGAAACGAAAAAAGACCACAACAACAATGTATTGACAAGCCTGAACTGAACACACACACACACACCCCACACATATAAACAAGTTAGTCAGTCATCTTTAGTCAAAGGTCCTCAGTACATCTATTGTGACAAAGTTTCGGTTCGTAGGATGGAAGGGAAAATGAAACCACTAAAACGCACCAAGACGCCATCTCTTCTAGAGCAAATAACACCCCACCAACTGGGGCACGGAAGGCCGCAGCAATTCCAGCAGCTGATCCACATGTTATTAGATCCCTTCGATCTCGGTCGTTCTTAAAAAAACTTAACCATTTCCATGTTAATCCATATCTCTTTGAACCACCCTGACCCAACAATGATCCCACACATGCACCTGTATGCACCATAGGCCCAGCCTTTCCAATAAGAAGGGATGATGAAACTGCTGAAATGCTTCCAATAATCTGTAGAAAGAATGAACATAAATTAAATCTGCTCTTCAAGAAAAATATGAAAAATCTCAGATTTCATCTACCACTTCAATGTAGCAGGCCTAAATTATGTAAGATGCCCAAAAAATTCACATCAAATGAATCAAACATTAACTGATTCAACAGCATCAAAAACTAAGGTTGTCGAAGTATACAAATCATAGATTGTTTATTAGAGTAACCCATCTCATCATTAAGTTCAATCGACGTAGAGTAACAGTATGAATAAATCTCTAATACCGAAAAAGTATTGTACTCCCTCCGGTCCCATTTATAAGTCCAATTCTAGAAGGTGTATTTGGTCCCATTTATAAGTCACGGTGCGTCTTTTTAGATAATATTTGAGAGGTATTTCCAAAATTACCCTTCATGAGAGAGAAAAAGCAACAGGACATTACTTTTTAGATTTGTTATATAGGGGCATGTTTGGAATTTTACTTACTTTTATTCCTTGTACTTTTATTGTATCGGTATTGATGAGGTTGGTAGAAATGACTTATAAATAGGACCGGAGGGAGTATACCTTAACGAACAGAGTTCTGATGGTAAATATTCCAGGAGCATCTACCCCATTTAAGTAGGCTTTCACCTCTGGTATACCAGAACCCGTGGCAGCAGGTGCTATAAAAGCCGTGATTATAGAAGAAAAAAGCGTGAGAACCAAATTCGAAGAAAAAAATACTGCAAAGGCCAACAGAAACCTGCAAAAAAAAAAAAAAAAACTCAAATTCGTAAGTAGCTTTACTTGAGAAGAGTAGAGATAATAACAAATCATATTTGTTTCTACAAATTTAAAAAGGGAAAAAAAAACTTGAAAGGTAATCAAGTCCTCGCCCAATATGAAAGAAGATTGTAGTGTGTGATTCAATCAATTCAACCGATGGAAGTAGTCAAATTAGATACTACACACACACACCACATACGTAACATGATACAGAATCATAGGCATTACCTCCTTTGTAACATTAAGTTAGATGTGATCACGAACTTGAGACCAGCCATATTCTCAACCGCAAGATTATTGCAAAATCCAACCAGGCTAACAATCGCGCCAATCAACAAGCACAAAACCCACTTCATGAAAAGGTACTGGAATATCTGAATCTTCCCTCGGCTCCTCCAGTCCTGCTTGAACAACTCGTTCTCGAAAATCCTGCATACCCAGAACAAAAGGTGAAGAATTGAGAACTAATTCATTCACAACAGACAAAATCCTACGAAAATTTTCAAAGGGCAGATGAAAAACCACAGACTCGTAGTCAAGGCTCTCAATGGGACAGACATTGGCGCCAACGATGGCAACCTGCGACGTGGAATTGATTCTGGATCTTTCGGAATGAAGCAAGGGTTCATGGAGGGACTCGCAGTCCCCATTCGAGTGGTCTGGGGACATCGAAGAAATCTAAAAGAGTACGCAGAAAATAAGCATATGAGTACGTAGAAAGGAGAGAGAGAGAGAGTATGAGTGTGCTGGTGGAGTTGGAGAGTTGGAGAGTTGAAAAGAGGTTGAGTTGTGAGTTATATGAAGTTCGGCTCGGAAGGTGCGTGTAGGCGAGAGACGAGAGTGGAGAGTGGAGACGATTCCCGAACGCTAAACGACGACGTACGTGGCTTCCGGGGATTGGCTTCTTGTGTTGTGAACCTTCTCCGGATGAGGGCCGGACTTTCCTATCAGGCTTGGGTTTGGTTGGGGCAAAGTGCTTGATAGGGAAGCAAGGGGGAGGGGGAAGGTGAGGAAAAAAAAGTTCGGTTGAAATAATTGGAAGGGAGAGGAGGCAAATTTTCTCTCTTTCCTCCCCTCTTCATCTTTTCCTATTCTCCCCTCTAATTTGGGAGTATTTGTGGGCCGAGGCAAATTTTAGGACTAAAACGTCCTTATCAATTTTATTATATTCTAAATATTATTGTTTCAATTAAATAAAAAACATGACACCGCTTCTACATGCCATCAACTATCAATTACTAGTTGTTATATATGTGTCTTCAATCCCAACCCTAGCATATTTTTATACTAAAAATACATTTAAAATTAATGAGATAATTTGTTAAAATTAATAAAATAACATTTTCTTAAAACATTACTAGAATTTGTTATAAAAAATTTTCTAGTTGAATATCATAAATAGATGAGATAAAATATTTTTTAGATTCAAAAATAAAAAATAAATTTTGATACAAAAACATTTTTCTATAAAAGAAAAGAAGTAAATAACATAAAAGCATATATATCATTTTATAATTAACTCCCCTCTCCTCCCTTCTCAAATCAAACAAAAATCATTAAAACACTTCCACCCTCCTCCTTCCAAACCAAATAAGAACTCATTAAAGCTAAACTCATCCCTTCACCTCTCATTCCCTTCCTTTCATTAACCTCCCCTCCTCTTCCCTCTTTCGAACCAAACCCTATTTTAAGTAACCAAACTATAAAACCGAACACCATGCTATGCACATGGTTCAGCTTCTATGGTCATCTATCATGAAATTTGAATAGTCTAAATTTTAATTTGGATTATTTAGATTTAAAGTATTTATCTTATATTTTTAATATATATTTATTAAAACAAATTTTTAATAAATATATTCATCATCAATCTGGTCCGAATTTAATTTGAAACGTCAAATTTAATATTAAATTTTTAAAATTTTTATATTTAACTGGGGGTCAAATTTAATATTAAAAATTTTTATAATTTTTATATATTAACTATCTAGATATTTAAATAGTTCATATTTAATATTAATTTTTTATAAATTTTTATTTTGATAAATATTTTATTAAAAATTAAAATAATCTCCTAACTGGTACTTTCAAAAAACATATTTTTAAAAATTATAAGTAAAAAAATTTTAAATCTAAACAATTCATAGTAAAATAAGTGTAAAAAATTTAATATTAAATTTGAACACTCCAAATTAAATCTAGACTAGATAGATGATTAACAAAATTGTTAAAAATTTTATAATTTTTATTTTATATATATAAAATAAAGACATTAAATTTTTCCTCCCCTTCCCTCTCCTCCTCTTGAACCAAACATAGCTTATAGCTTTAGATGATACAAATTTCATCACCTTCTTTGATGCTCATCACCCTAATATTCTTGGAAAAATATAAGTGAATTATTCCCTCATTTCTTATTTTTTTAAGGTAGAGAAGGAAATTTTTTTTATCCCAATTATAAAGTCTACCATTAATTTTTATTATAAATTTTTTTCTTTTACCTCTAATAAATATTAGTGTGAGAGAGTATATTATTAAAGATGTATACTTAATAAGATTAAAGTTAAAAAATTATTATTTACCAAAAAAAGTTAGAAAATTATTAAATTTTAATAAAAAATAATAAATTTTAAGGTTTTTCTTGATTGAATAAACACATTGAAATCAAAATGACTTAGGATTAGATGGTGTACAACTGTACATAATTAGTATGAGTATATCTTTTTTTGTAAATTTTATTTTATTATATATAATTTAGATTTGAGTTGGCCTTTTTAAAAAAATTTAAGTTCATGTTTTGTGCTGTATAAGATCTATCAGCAGATGATTTTAGAACTATTAATAAATTTGATAGATTTAAATTAATACTCTCTCTAATAAAAAATATAAGGTATTTTTTGAGAAGTTAGATATTCAAAAATATAAGGTATTTTTAGTCTTTTAAGATATAATCATTATTTTTTTCCAAAAGTACCCCTATTAAAAATAATTTTATATTTATTGTTGGGTGTTTAATAGGGATAAATATAAAAAATAAGATTAGTTAAAAAGTAGGTAACTATTTTATTGAGATGTGAGATTCAGTTAAAAATATCTTATATTTTTTAAAAGAGAGAGTATTTAAATTTTTTATACGCTTGCTGATGCATCTTAATCATCTTACACATTAATTTTTATTTTTCGATCCCTTTCAATTTGCAGCTCTTATCCAATCAAAATTTTATAATATATCAAATTCATATGTTATTATATACAATTTGTCGAAGGAATCTTACATTCAAGAATCTCAACGTACGTATCTTAAGATTGTTATACTATACAATTAAAATAGGATTCATGATTCAATAACGGAGATGGGTCAATGGTAGGGGGCCAAATGTTAGTTTAGATATTTTATTTTTAATATTTATTTGTGTTTATTGTTTTTCAATAATAATATTATAAGCTATAAAATTATTTGATGAAATATGTAAATAATAAGGTTAAAATATATATTTAGTCATTTAACTTTATGTAAGATTTCATTTTAATCTTTTATTTTATAAAGTATATTTCTAATCATTTAAGCCCAACACTGTTAGTTTTATCACAAAAAGTTATATACTCCCTTCGTTAAAAAATATAAGACATTTTCAACCGAATCTCATCTCCCAATAAAGTAGTTATCTACTTTTAAGCTAACCTTATTTTTCTATATTTATTCATATTAAACAACTTACAATAAATATAAAGTCATTAATCAATAAAGGTACTTTTAAAAAAAATACAATGATTACATCTCGAAAGATTTTAACCTTATATTTTTTAATATTTAACTCTTTAAAAAATGCTTTATATTTTTTAACAGAAAGAATATAATATTGACAAAACATTCTTAAATGTTGACATATTTTATTTTTTAAAATAAAAATAACTGGCATAAAAAATAATCATTTAAAACAAATGTTGTTAGGATTAAAAAGATAATTTATAAAATTAAGTGATCAAATTAAAACTTTATATAAAACCAAAAAATAAAAAGTATACTTTAACTTAATGGTAAAAAAATTATCATAAATAGAAGAACTTAAACCATTTATTTTATAAATTAAATCTAAAGCTATTAACGATATATGTGTGTGTAATATAATTCATAATTTTAATACATTTTTATATTTCATGGCATATTGATAATTTAAACATTAATATGGATATTGAAACTTTTCAAGGTGTAAAACTTAACAAAAATTGCAAATATGATTGATGATATAATTCAGCATTTGGCATTTTGGCTTTTCCCTTATCAATCTCAATACTGGATTTTAATATAAATCATCCATCATCTCTTCAAACTTCAATTTAGAGTAGATCTGTAAAAATATTTTCTAGGTTCATCATAGAATAAACGAACAAATTACCTTTTTGAACTTTAGGTCCAATAGTATTATAGATCTTGAACTCATTTGTTGTGTCAATTATTTCTTAAATTTTTGAAAATAATATAATTTGACCCCTACTATTAAAAAATTAATTTTCACCATTAATTGATCAAAAAATAACTGAAAAGTATATCAAAATTTTAGAAAATGATCAAAAATTTATAATAAAGAACCCAAAAATTACAAGCAATTACCCAAAAAAATTATAGAAAATGATGAAAAAATTTAATCTCTTTTTGATCAACTAATGATCAAAGTTAATATTTCTTAACAATAGAAGTTAGATTGTATTATTTTTAAAAATTAAATAGAACAATTTGCACAATAAATTAATTCAGAATCGATAATACTATTAGATCTAAAGTTTAAAAAGTAATTTACTTATTTACTCTTCATCATACAAACTTTAGTTTAAAATAGTGTCCTTGAGCAATCATAGCTCATTTAATTATGACCAATGCCTATTAATAAATACAAGTTGAATTTAAATATATAAATGAATTGGTTTCAAATGCCGTTGTTAAAAATATTGAATATATAAGAAGTGAATCACATTTGGCCTCCACTTTAAGAAGATGCAACTAAAATATTTGATCCTATTTATTTTTATAGAAAAACTAATATATATTAGATGAGGAGCATTGGGAGTAAGGGGACCAACCATAATGTCCCTCTCTCCTTGGGATAAACTTATTAGGTTTTGAAAGATATATAACTTGTTTGGTTTGATGCAATACAAGGGGATTACTTGTAATCCTGATGCATTACATGATTTTAACTGTTTGGTTGGCACCAAATAAGGTAAAAGAGATTACATCATGTAAAGGGGATTACATCATACACTGTAAAGAGAATTACATCAATAAACCTATGTAATTTCCATTACAACCACATTTTATATCAAAATACCTCTCTTCATATAACATACCAAACAAAAACATGTAATTCTTATTACATTATATTTCATTCCTTAGCATTGCATTACATTCCCTCTGATTCTTTGAACCAAACAGGCTATTAATGTATCTTTATCTCAATATTTTGTTAAGGTCTAGGGCTTGGAGAGCGCTCTCTTTCACGTCCGCACTCATGTGAGTTGGTCAATTAAAGCTTAACCTTGAAGGACTCAAATTACTCCATTTTTCTTTTTTTTTTATATTAAATGAATTTTTTTAAAAAGTATTTTTATAATGGGTAAAAAAATAAATTAATTTTTAAATTATAGGTCCAAAAGTATTTGGATCTTTAAACTCTTTTTTAGTGAAATGCTCTCTTCTAATTTTTAAAAATAGTGTAATCTGATAGGTACTATTAACAAAAATTAATTTTTACTATCAGTTGACCAAACAATGATTAAAAAAGATCTTAAAAATTACATAAAAAAATATTTTTAGATTAAATATTTTTGCCCATCAATTAATCTCTCATAAAATTTGGCATCATAAACAAAACTTTAAAATATGATGCAATTTGCCCATCAACTATTAACAAAACTTTCATATGATGCAATTTTTCCTTAACATTTAAAAATGGTACATTAAGCACTATGTCATGTAACACCCTCAAATTTACAGACCGATTTTTCGCAAATTATTAAAACCATTATCATGGTAGAAAAATTTCTACCACGATAC